TTGGTTAACATTGTAACGCAATACGTTAAAAATAAATACAAATAGGAAGAACATTAAAAATCTCTTGAATAAGAACCCATTACATGTATGTTTATATATATAAAAGTATTGCTTATAAACTCGCGGCAAACATATCATTATTAAAAAACAACAGTGCATCTAATATTTTGATCGAATTATTATATTATACTAATATAATAAATATTCTATAGTTATATAATATATTGTCTAAATTACCCAATCATCAAAATTATATTATATATCGTCTAATTTAACCAATTAATACACGAACGTAAACAAGCTGAAACCGGTTTCAGTCGTGTAAAAACAATAAAGCTGTATAGTATCACATGATAATTAAGATTTTACGTAGAATTTTTAGTGTGTCTAATAATTTGGCCAGAAACTATATATCAGTGTGGGAAAAAAGCAAGATTCGCGGATACCATGGTGACGGAGCAAGGAAAGGTGTGGAGACTGGTGTAATCGCCGAGCCACCAAACGCCTATTGCAGGGGTGGCGAACCTTTATACACCGACGTGCCATTTTTTCTAAAAAACTGTTTAATGATGTCATAGACGTGCCGTCAAGTAATTTTTACTTCGTGATTATTGGGAAAATAATAATACTAAATACTATCCACTCAAAACTCTTTATTTACATTGAAAAAATATACATTTTGCAATGTCTCAGTTATACACGCAATTCAACTTAAGGTAACATCAGTAGTTGTTGCAGATTAAATGACCAATAAGTTATTTTAGGTTGTAAGATGTTAGTTTAAGCAGGACTGTTGATTTTTCTGCTTGTTATTTATTGTTAGCTTGTTTTTTACGGTTATTAATTGTTTTTTTAGTATTAATTTTTAATTTTTTTATTAATAATTGTTTATTCTTTTGTTTGTTTTTTGGGAATTTTAATTTAATTTTTACATATGCTTCATAGCGTAATAAAATTTGTGTAATAACAATTCATAGTGTAACAACAATTGTGATCGGTGGAGTGCCCAAAATATTGTGTCGCGTGCCATTGGTTCGCCATCCCTGATGTAGGGGATACAGAAATGACACTGTTTCTGGAAACACACATACATTCAGGTAAACTAATCATCGAGTCAATAAAAAGATTACTCATTTGGCTGAACTAATTGACAAAGATGAGTGTTCACAATTTGCTATGTATGCTCAGACCTGCTACTAATCTCCAACTTGCATCTCCTGTTGCTACTTATTGTTTTTAACAGTGAATTTTCTATTTATTCAGGAGAAAAGTTTGTGATTAATAGAATTGGAGCATCTCTTATTGACAAGCAGGATTTTGAATGTCCATTGTGCATGAGGTACTGAAAAATATTTATTAGATTTTCTTATATTCTATTTACTCAAATTTAAATTTGAAATAAAATGGTTTGCTTATTGCTATGTTAGCCCGAAATAAGCTACTCTATTTGAAGTTGCAGTAAATTTTTTGGTTATTAATCAGATATTTTCTAGTTGTATTATGGTTTCTTTGACTTGTCATGTTATTTATGTTATTAAAACCATGCGAATTAATTTACCAAACAATTTGTTTATAGTTTTATTTCATTTCNTATATATATATATATATAATAGGGAGCCGTGTTGGCTCAGAGGATAGAGCGTTCACCTTTCAATAAGGTGAAACGGGTTCAAATTCCAGCACTGGCTGGTCGATACGAATTCCGTATCCGGCTTGCACCGACCACAGTGCTGACGTAAAATATCCTCAGTGATAGACGGATCATGGGTTAGAGTCCCTTTGCCATCAGACTAACCGGGAGGTTCTCGTGGTCTTCGTCTCCATGTAGCGCAAATGCGGGTTAAGGCCTGGTTTCTTAGGAAAAGGCGGCTTCAGCTTGAAACGAATGTTTACCTCTGATTGGTCAATTTATGAGTTTGACAGCATACGTCATCGAACACTCAGCTTGATCGACAACTGCCGTCCAAATCAACTGCAGTTGGATTACAACGTGACGTTAACAACAGAAGCAATGGCGGACAACAGCCAACAACAGAGCATTTAAATCAGCCAAGATTTTAATTTTAACATTAATTGGGTCGGCTGTTCAACAACGGTTATATAAAAAATGTTAAAAACAAATAAAATAAAACTTTACACTTTATTTATGTTTTGATATTAATTTTGTTAAATTTGCTTCAGGCTCCTTACCAGTTAGAATTTATAAATTACAGGAAACTCCTTTGAATAGCAAAATTACGCGTAAATTTAAACATAAATCACATTAACAAAACTTTCTAGGATATAAGCCTCTTCACACATCGCCTCGTAAGTATAATATAAGCGGAAGGATACACCGAAAGTTTTCTAAATTTTTCATGTTTTAGGAAGCTTGATGTTGTTTACATTCAGTCAACCATCCATCAAGGATTGCGATTTATTTGATGACAGGTTTGTTGTGTTTCGAGGGGCCTAGCGGTATCACGCTGTGCAAAGTTTGGAGGTAGCGGGTTCGAATCCCGTTGTTACCCTGGATGTATCTTCGTGCTCTGTATTGTGTTATCTGTCCTTCTATTTGACAAAGGTTTATAAGCCTAAATTGAGCACACAAACCTGCAAATGTATGTAGTTTCGATAAATAAACAATGAACAATTGTGTTTCTAAAACGATCGTAATTCAGTAGCTAGCAACTGTAAACGTGGTGGTGCATTTCTTATTGCTAAAAAAATTATTATGAGGCTAGTTATTTGCCTTTACTTGATTTAGATTCGGAATTTCATTTTTATTTCTGTTAATTTCATATTTAGGAGGAAACTGCTTTTCTGTGTCATATATTTTCCATCCATTGTAAGTGCTAACAATTACATAAAATATTTTGATTATTTTAAAAAATTTACTTCTGTTCTAGATATTTTTGTATGTAGTAATTTTAATTTTCTGTCAATAATTTCTTAAATCTAAATGGTACTAATCGCTGTTATAGAGAATTTGCAAATTTTAAGAGTTTGTACAATTTAAATAAAATGAATAACGTTATAAATTTGAACAAGAAATATTTAGATCTGATTTTGATAAATATTAGCTCTAGTAATGTTTTGATAAACCGTAGTGATAGACCTCTCTAACTATTTATATTGATTTAAAGCTTGTTTGCAAAAAAATTGATGAAATGTTCAAATTTAGATAGGGTTACAAAAAACACGAATTTTTCTAACACGAATGAATTTCAGTGATATTAACATATCTGTTTCGGGTTTTTATAATAGATTTTTTAACATTTTCAATAAAAATTATACAGATCAAGAATTCTATAAATAAAAATAAATTTACTCTTTGGTATTATCTTGAAACCAAAAACCTTTTAATGCAGAATTTATTGCCCGAAATTTTTTTTTATAAAATTCCAGAATTCACTTAAATATGGCGTATTTAAATCATTAAGATCGACTGTTAAACTAAGTATAAAAAATGACAATCTGAATTAGTGTATAATATTAAAGCCAGTTTCATTTCTAAGCCTCGAAAATTTTGGTCATACTTTAAAAAAAATTCATCAACAAATGCATTACCAATGCATCAACAAATACGATCATCTATAATGATATTTCTAATACTTTTACAAACTATTTGAGCTTTTTTTAAAAAAAGAAAAAGTAGTTCTAAATATGACCGAATCCTAGATAGCTAATATTATAGCTAGTGTTATAATTATAGATTTAACTAACGACCGTAACCGTTATTTAAACGGTTATTAGTTAAACATTGATGTTATTTGTTAAACGCTTTATTAACTGTTTAACATATGTAACTAATAAGAAATAACCATAATAACTATACAAATTAAATTAATAACTAATGAATCATATAGATCATAATTTCGAAAAAATGTTTCATAGTTATTTATGTGCATAAATCTCATCCTTTTAATCCTCTTTTAAAATCAACAATATTACTTTAGCCCTGTTATATAGTGAAGATTTTTTTAATCTGATTTGATTTTTTTATGATTTTATATTCAGTAATATTCAACACATAAATTTCACTTGAAGAGCAACAGCTAAAATAAAAATGTTACTTTCCCAGATAAAGTCAGCAGTTCAATTTGTTTGATTTTGTATTCGATTTTTTTTTAATCATGACATATAGTTTCCTTGATCAACAAAGGAGGGGGGGGGAAGAATTCACCCCATTTCTCCATGACTCTTCCTCATAGATTTCTATGTTGCCCAGTAACCATGACCATGAACTGAAATTGCGAATCAATAAGCGACTCAAAACGGAGGGGAGTTTAGATTATTTTTAATTAAAATTCCTCGACGTTGCTAGAAAATATCTACGTTATTATTTAACAAAATAATAATAATAAATTGCCTCTAACACAGTAATTGGGTACTTCCAACTGCGTGATTAGAAATATCCACCTGATTTAAATCAGATTTAATTGATTAATTACACACGCGTAAGCGACGTTACGCGTGTATCGAACCTGATTATCTTTTGAATCGACGACTGCCATGACGATTCACTCGCGATGGCGTCGATGGCAGTTATGCAATAATGAATAAGTTAACCATAAAAATGACATAGAAAGATTGAAACGTTTTTAACATAAGTAAAAACGTTTAAAATGTACGCTGTCGAGAATAAAACTCAGTTTGGAAAAAACAATCAACTCTTAAGTTTCCACATAATCGTCTGCTTTTTTTAATCGTCTGCTTTTTTTTAATCGTCTGCTTTTTTTTTATCGGCTGCTTTTTTTTAATTGTCTGCATTTTTTTAATTGTCTGCATTTTTTAATCTTCTACTTTTTATTAATGCTTAGCTCGATATTTTACAACTCTTGCAATTTTTTATTTGTGATTATGGTGTTGATCTTGCCGTAAAGTGTGCAGATGTGAAATACATAGAGCATCACCCATTGTACCAATATAAAAGATTAAAAAAAAAAAAAACTTTTAAATGTTTTTTTGGCATTGGAGACTATTGCCCAGAAACATAATTTTTTGAAACTAAAATCCTTCCTAAACAATAGGTACTATCTTGCAAAAGATTTCTCGAAATGATAGCTTACTTGTTGATGTACGGATGCCTTTCTAAAATCTATTTTTGGTTCATCGGAAACTTCAGTTCCATGAGTTGTGTGAGTTTCGATGATAATTTGTAAGGAATATTCCTGAGTCTCACTGTAGAAGGTGAAAAAGAAGAAACAGAAGCAGATAACGAACGCCCATTCAGCTACGGCACTTGTGAAGTAAGATCCATCCATATCAATTGGTAATTTGAGATCCACTCCTAAAGTCGATGGATAAGGCTGCAAAAAATTATGTATATAGGTACGTTAAAGTATATGGGCTATAAAATTAAACAGCTTATAAACAGTTGAAAAAAAGTGCATTCAAGTCAAAATCTAGAAGTCAACTGAAAATCTAAATATCATACTCTCCTCAGAAAACTAGATTTTCAGTTGCACAAATAAAACTGCTTCCTATATGTTAAATTACGAAGATAACATGAGCGCAATTTTCGTATTTGTTAAGCAATTGATAAATATTTTAAAATCTTTGAGCCTAATTACAAAATTTTTCATGGAAATTTTTTTATGAAAATGTTTTGAAAATACTTACAACCACTTTAATGGAATTTGGTTAAGTAATAGGTACTTATAATACATAACAATTCAAGAGTTTGAAATCACATTTCGAGGATAACACCCATTGGAGTTGAAAAGTGTGAAACAGGAGTTACAGAATTAAACGAAAAAATAGTGGTTTTTAGTTTCCTTATTTTACCCCCTATAATTTGAGGGTTAGAAATTGGAATTCATTGAAAAAAAAGTAGGGGAAATACCTATTAATTAAATCTATTCGTGGAAACATCGATTCATTCATAGGGTAAATATATATTCATGAAATATCTATTCATAGAAAGTTTGCTTTTGTGTCTGATTTCGTATATAACACCCTACTTTCATTTTCATCTGTCCATAGTTTTGGAGACCTCTAGTACAGTGTTTCCCAAAGTGTGGTACGCGTACCCCCAGAAGTACGGGAACAGTTTAGCTGGGGTACGCGTTCTCAAGCGAAATATCTTGCAACAAACGAGAATTTCAAAAAATTTTATTTAAAAACAAAGCTAGCCATGATAATTTACGATTGCGTATTTTTCAATTAGTTTTTTTTAGAGTTAACAGTTAATAATTCGTTCTTTCGTTCAATTTTCGAACTTCCGTTCAATTTTCTATAGTAAAAAATGCATTCCTTTTTTTTTTATTAGTGGTACACAGCGTTACGAAAAATTTAGAAAGGGTACACAAAAGTCATAAGTTTGGGAAACACTGCTCTAGTAGAATCGATGTTCTGGGTCATAAGTAATCTTAACGTATTTTGAAAGACATAATTTCAAGACAAAAAATTAAAAATTAATTCGAACCTCTTTGATATTTAACGAAGTTGCGACTGATTAAAGTTTATCAGGAGCTCTAATTCGCTTTTCAAAAAACTAGTATTTTGTTGGAATTCTTCTTTCAATATCGTTTTTAATACGTGACAACCTACTAAACCTTTTCAGTTTTAAAAACAGTTTAAAAATAAGTATTTTCTAAATATGTCTTAGATTTATAGCGCATTGTATATACAATACTCATACAATGATATCAACTTGAGGCAAATTCCCCGAAAGCAAATTTAAAAAGGTCTTAAGATTTATAAACTGGAGAATTTTTTTCTAATAGCATTGTAGCTAACTTTTTCTTAGTTTTTTAATGAAACTTTTTATTATTTTAATTTTTTCACTTATTTATTTACTCATTAAAAATTGTTTACTTTAGTCCATTATAGGGCAGTTTCCTTTGTTCAGTCCATTATAGAACAATTTTTCCATGTTAAAATATTCTTGGGATTGAGATTGGTTTATGAAAAGAAAGTCTTTTAGCTTTTCACCAAAAATTAATTTAATTTTTTTTTGACCATTTCTTTTTGATGAGAAGGTAAATTAAGGTCTTAAAAATTTCTGCTACTGTAAAGTGTCGGCCATAAACTTCCGTGCTTATAAATGACAGAATTTATAAATTCTATGTTCACAACTATAAATGAACTCTATGAGAAAGGACATAACGTACAAGAGGAAATAGCTTCCTAGTGTTGGGCTTTCATCTTGACTTCTCGCTTACCTTTTCTTTTACCCGTATTTATGTAAACACAGTCCTTTATTAGTATTTTTTTCCCTTATATTTTCTGAAGTTATTAGGGGATGGCTGCACAAATAAGTAATAACATAGCTTCCCACTTACATTAAAAAATTAATGATGGAAAGTATAGTTCCCACATTCAGAAGTTTTATCATTCAGAAATTTTAACCATTTTTATAAAATGATTCCTGATGGCTAATATACCGACAAATACATTTTGTATACTAGCGGTTCCCAGCCTTTTTATGTAGTGAGAATCACAAACATTTTTTAAAAAAAAAACTTTGAGGCCTATTATCTATTAAATAAAAAAAATATATAAAATAAATATCTAAAATATACGTATGGCGCACGAAAGGCAATATTTAGTAGAGGATATTGAAAGGATACTGAAAGAGACAATACATCTTAATCTGCATAGGACATACTATTATTCTTCGATTGCTTACGATTCACATGTACTATTTACTAGTGACATGGGTCTAGTGAATCGTCCCGAAAAACTGGTATTAGACCCCTAAATTTATACTGGCCAGCGTCCATGGCCACACTGCCTGTGGCCATGGACGCTGGAGGATGGCAGCCTATTAGTTGAGAACAACTGTTATATACGATTCACTTTAACTTTTTTGGTTACGGCTGGCACAACTGATGATCCAGAGTAACAGGTGCTATCAGGCACCGTAGGCAAAAGGTTAAAATGCATTCGACAGATTAGAAAATCATTCATATGCAAATAGAATATAAAACACTTACCAAAAGGTTTGTGGTGTTCGTGTCTACATCCGTGCTATTCATATAATACATGTGTGATATTCCAGAAAAATTATCAGGAACGGTCATCATGTCTACATTCAATTAAGAAGCATTCATTTATCGATAAAAATGTCATTTCATTTCGAATATTAACATAAAGTAAAATGGCTAAGCTTGTCATCAAATAAACAATGTGAGAGACAACTTTCTCTGACATTGTTTCTAGAAGTTCTAAATACAGTCTCTGGTCAAATTATTAGACGCACTGTAAGAAACTATGCAAAATCTTAATTATTAGGTAATACTATTCAGCTTTATTGTTTTTACGAGACTGAAACCGGTTTGCACTTGCTTCCTTTCGTGTATCAATGGGTTACAATTGTAATGCAATACGTTAAAAATAAATACAAAATAGGAAGTATATAAAAATCTCCTGTATAAAAACCCATCACATATGTATTTACATATAAAAGTATTGCCTATAAACTCGTGCAAAACATGCAATTATTAAAACACAAAAGTGAGTCTGATAATTAGGTCTAATTATTATAATATACTAATATAATACCTGATATAATAAATATTCTATATTTATATAATATATCGTCTAATTTATCCAATCGTCGAATTTATATTATATATCGTCAAATTTAGCCAATTGATACAAGAAGGTAAACAAGTGCAAACCGGTTTCAGTCACGTAAAAACAATAAAGCTGTATAGTATCACCTGATAATTAAGATTTTACATAGAATCTTAGAATGCGTCTTATAATTTGGTCAGGGACTGTATCTAAATTTTTTTAAATCTCGGTAAGTCGTTCAAATTTTGTCTAAGGCTCTAAAAAACGTTAATATATAAATGAAATTTAATAATGAGTTCTATTATATCTTACAGAACTTATCTTTCGCTGGAATTCTTTTCTGAATATCGTAATACAGATTGTCCTAAAATTAATCTCTTCAATGAGAAAAATTGTTTAAAGGTCAAACTTTTAAAGTATGGCTCAGATATAAAGTGCATTGCATATGATACTGTGAATGACAGAAATAGGTGGTTGTTGACTTCCACCGGTGAATGTCAACAATCACATAGTCGCTTTGGTAAATGTCCGAAATATATACTAGGTATAGTTAAGTGCCACTGCCCGGTATGCTCTACATCAATGTTTTTTTGAGGTCAAGTGCCCAGTACGAATTTAACTGGTACTCTGAACACTGATGTTTCTTCTAATCTATCTTCAGCTGATATTAAAATATCGAATAAATATAATAATATCAACGTGAGTAAATTAATATGAAATCGGATGTAACAAATATTTTGGAAATTTACCAAAGCGACTATGTGATTGTTGACATTCATCGATAAAAGTCGACATTCTCTTGATTTCGATCACGGTAGCATACATAATATTCAAACAATGAATACTATATTTGAAGCGAATTCCCCCAAAACTAATTTTCAAAGTTGGAATCTTGAGATTTTAAACTTGAAATTTGCTCCGAACTTCTTAAAAATCATTGTGGTTTAAACTTTTTATTTTTAAGAGTTGCTTACTTTTAACCCTACATAAGACAATTTTTTTTTCTAGGGATGTTATGTTAAAATATTCTTGGGATTGATATTGATTTATAAAAAGAAAGTCATGTAGCTTTTTACCTCTCGGGAGCTACCACTCTCCGTTCCACTGTAAAAAGGTCGATGATGGAGGTCGGTCATTCTTAGAGGTTACCTCCATGGACTTAATTGTTACCAAAGGTACATGATTTTTCGCATGATTTTTTTTTGTGTGTGTGTATGTGTATGTACTTATATATGTATGCAACGTTAAACAACAACAAGACAGCAACTTCAATGACTTTTGATCTAATGATAGGATCTTTACGCTCTAGAACTCACTGGTTTGAGGGAGCGACCTCAAATATGTTAATCAATTAGCGCAGACGATAATTTAAGTTACGACATCAGATACAAAAGCGTACTTTCTCTGAACAAACATATTTTTTTCTGACAGATTCGGATTTCTATCCCCCAAAATATAGGGGGTTACCGCAATCTGGGAAAAATGGTCCCAATAGGTTGATCAGGAGAGCGGTCCGAAGTTTTTACCCCTTAATGTTAATTTGATTTTTTGCGTATTTCACTGTATCTCGAGAACTTTTTAAACGAATTGAAAAATTTTTGCACACAATTACAAAATTTGTTTGTCCAATTATAATTCCACGCAAAAAAATAAAATTTAGTAAATATTTATTGTTTTTAATAATCGAATTAGTATTTATAATAATGGAAATTTTTTTAATTGCAAGGTACAAAATTTTTTGCATCATTTTACAGTACGTAATTTTAAATAGCAGAATACAATTTAGCTCAATTTTTGTATTTTGTCATGTAAAATTACAAACTGATTAAAAAAAAAATTATTCCTTAAAATTCAAAATTTTTTCGATTATTACTAAATAAAATCATAAAAAATATTTACAAAAAATGTCCTTTTTCCATGGAATTATCTTTGAATAAACGAACTTTATAATTGTGTACAATAATTTTTCAATTCGCTTAAAAAGTTCTCGAGATGTAGTAAAATACGCAAAAAAAAAAAAAAAAATTAACATTAAGGGGGCTAAACTTTCGACCCCTCTCCTGACCATTCTGTCAAATTGGGACCATATTTCCCAGATTTCGTGGCAACCCCTTATATTTGGGGGATCAGAAATTTTAATCCATCGAAAAAAATGTTTATTCAGAGAAAGTATGTTTTTGTGTCTAATTTCGTGAATTAAATTATAGTCTGCAATAATTAATTAGCATATTTGAATTTACCGCTTTGAACCATTAAGAGCGAGACCTAGAACGTGATGATCCGGTCATCAGATCAAAAGATATTCAAGGTGGTCTTTTTTTTTTTTACTTTGCACACTGTAAGTAAAGGAAAACGAGTTTTGTATTCCTCTGCTTCTGTACAATCTTAAAAATTTCGTTTTTTCTTATAATTTATACTTACTAATAGTAACTGATGTAAGTAGTTATAAAAAGGATACGGTACACGAAGGCAACAGCACATGCCAAAAAGAGCAGGACTCGAATAGTTAGAGTGCATTCATTCTTTGTTTTGAGAAGCAGAGTGATTGCACATTGCAGTCCCAAGTAGACCAATCCCAAAGAAAACAGGATCACTCCACCAATCATATGAGGGATTCCTACGTCCCTTAGCTGAAAATAAATAAATGAATTAATCATTATGCAAATATTTTTCATTCGTTTCTGAATAATTAATTTAAAATAGTCCTTCAGCTGAAAATAAATGAATGAATCATTACACAAATATTTTTCATTCGTTTGTGAATAATTAATTTAAAATAGTCCTTCAGCTGAAAATAAATGAATGAATCCTTACATAAATATTTTTCATTCGTTTCTGAATAATTTATTTAAAATAGTTCCTCAGTTGAAAATAAATGAATGAATCCTTACATAAACATTTTTCATTCGTTTCTGAATAATTAATTTGAAATAGTCCTTCAGCTGAAATAAATGAATGAATCATTACACAAATATTTTTCATTCGTTTGCGAATAATTAATTTAAAATAGTCCTTCAGCTGAAAATAAATGAATGAATCATTACACTATATAAACATATAAATTATGTTTTTTTTTTTTTACAAATATTTTTCATTCGTTTCTGAATTATAAATTTAAAATCAAATCCTGAATAATTCTGAAAACAAATTTCTGAATAATTAATTTAAAATGAAAGAATAAAAGACCGCATAAGTTCCATTAAAGTTAGTTTAAAGTGGATTTCGTAGTTTTGGATATCAAGAATCCCAGATCAATTCGGATATCAAGAATCCGGGATGTACCGATCGGACTGTGTAGGGGGTCAGGGAACTGACCTTGCATCTGGATTCGAATCCCGGTCAAGCCATGATGTTCTTTCATTCTCTGTGCTATCTGCATTTACTGTGGGAGCAACGTTGGCCCACCTAATATGGTGCCCCAGAAAGAGTGGCCAACAAATCTGCCTTGTAAATACACCTGATTTGACGAAATGTTAACACAGGTGGGCATTGGAAATAAAAAAAAGATTTAAAAAAAGAATTCGGAATGCAAGATTACGAAACAACAAGAGTGCAGCAGTAGTTCCTTCAATTCCAAGTTGCCTCCCTATGGAGAGTAGACTCTTCCCAAATCTTTTGAGGAAGAGATAAATAAGGGATTCATGTCAGTATTATTGCTTAAATCGATACAATAAAACAGATTCTGAACAGATTTTCCTGAAACAGATATTGGTGACTTCAGAATTCGGAAATAAAGTTTTGCCTTCCTAATAACAAAATGAATTTAAAAGCATTTCGAAGCTTCAAGTTTGCCACATTTTGTATTGATTTTTATTTTATATTATTGGTGAATTTCATATATATATATTATATTATTGATACATATTCATATATATATTATATTATTGATACATATTCATATATATATATTATATTATTGATACATATTCATATATATATTATATTATTGATACATATTCATATATATATTATATTATTGATACATATTCATATATATATTATATTATTGATACATATTCATATATATATTATATTATTGATACATATTCATATATANAAAAAAAAAAAAAAAAAAAAAAAAAAAAAAAAAAAAAAAAAAAAAAAAAAAAAAAAAAAAAAAACAATAGTGCAAGAAACATTGAGTAAATGCATACTGGGCAATTGTACTTAACTTTAAAACATCAGTTAAGAGAATACGATGCATTTTATGCATTTCTAAATATGCAAAAGAAAAGCAATAATCCACTCTTATATGCGATAAACAGTTATTGGCTGCAATAGCTTCAGAGTTATGGTTAATAATAGTTTGGCAGTAATAGCTGTGGAGTTGCGAAGCAATGACTGTTGCTTATCGGCAGCAATAGCTGTTGTTTATCGGTAATTGTTGTAAATCGGTGAAGCAATAACTGTTGTTTATCGGTAATTATACCTTGCAATTAATTGAAAACCTCCATCCTCCAGGCGTGTCAGAAAAAAATTACCGCTAAAGCAATGAAACCAGCTGAGCTAAAGACAAACAAATTGGAGAACACCCTCAAAGAGAGAAAGAAATTGTAAAGGAGTGTACAGAGAATTAAACATAGTACACAATATACATCGGTGTAAAAAAATGAAAAAAGACGCATCCAATAAATTTTGCAATTTAAGTAACAAATTGTTATATGGGGTATTTGCTATATAAAATTTTAAAGTAACATTAAAAATATTTAACTTCATTTTATTTATGATTAAGACAAAGGTAATATATGAATAACATATGAATATAATACATAGTGTATAATATATGAATAACGTACGAATATAATACATAATGTATAATATATGAATAACATATGAATACAATACATAATGTATAATATATGAATAACATGAAAAACATAAATAACAAGGTGTATTTAAATATAACGTAATATAAGAAATGATAAAACATTACTCCTTCTATAAGTTGACCACCACATGGCAATGCACCGCAAGTGGTCAACTTACACAGGTTTCACTGTATACGGTCAGAAAGAGTATGAGTTTAAATAGATGATAAATCTTCAATAAGTTAAATTTGGACACAGCTCGAAATACGCACTTACGAAAATGGACACAACTCAAAATACTGGATGTAATCTTTCTGACAATACCTTAGTATTCAGAACTTTAAACGATAAAATGGTTTTTCAAACTCTAAATTCCTAAAACGTAAATTTATTAATATAAATTTATAGCACCCCAATGACAACCGTGTAAGAAAACTGTTGAGTTTTAAAGTCTTGTGGGGCGAGGATTATCGACAATGTCAACCTTCATCAATGAAAAGGTACCCCCGACATAGAATCGAGTTAACATGTCTCAGATACTAGTGAGTTGGAATTGATTAATTTTAGTTGTAGACACGCTACATTACTCCTCCAGCACACTTTTATCTGTGATAGAATTCGATGAACAGATATTACTAGTTGATTCAGTTCTGTTTTGGGAGAAGCCGGGAGAGCTGTATTAAGATCACGGTGTCTCTTCTATGTTGTCATTAGTAGTCTAGGGTATACTGGCCGACGTTTGTGATTGATCCCGGGTGGTAACGGAGTGATGAAGACAATGTAGCAGACATAAATAGCAAATCAACTGTTCAATGTGAACCATCTATCCGTGAACCATAAGTAGGGGTGCTCAAATCGAAGTGGCTTGAGGGTCGAGGTGGGCGTGCTCAGATCACGTCTGCAGGTTACCAATGTGGGGTAGGGGTTATCGACAACGTAAAACTTCATCTATCTAAAGGTACCCCAATATGGAATCTAGTTAGCATGTTTTATATACAAGTGAATTGGAATTGTATTTTTGTAGTGGTGGACGCACTGCAATCTTTTCTGAAAATGACTCATTAAATGAAATATACCAAGTATTGTATGGAATCTGGTTAGCATGTTTTATATACTAGTGAATTGGAATTGCATTTTTGTAGTGGTGGACACACTACAATCTTTTCTGAAAATGACTCATTAAATGTAATATACCAAGTATTGTATGGCAATGGACAATATCACGTTATTTGGATTCAACAGTTTATTCTCTAAGATCAATGCTCATACAAGAAGTTTGATCACATGTTGTATCCATTTTCGTACAAATTTCATTTCAGATTTAAACACTTACCCAAATATCCCTGTTCCTGTAAAAGTTGAGAGGGTATCCTGTAACAAGTGTTATTCCAAGCATCGACACAATTCCAGCGCAGAGACACAATTTATTGACCGCGCCCACCAACTTGCTCATATCACGATTCTTTTCAGATACTATCATATAGCGTTGAATCATGAACAGGACGCCTGCAATCACAAATATTCTTGTAATAAAACAAAATAAAAACTATCAAAGTATTTCGAAAATATATAATAAAGTATAAAATTCAAGTGAAATGAGTCTCTTGACAAAAAATTGAAAAATGTGGTTAATAAATTATTTTTTAAAGAAATAATTGGTTATTTGCACTCCAAGAAGAAGATAACTCATACCCATACATATGACCTATAACGTCAGCGCTAGCTAATCTTTATCAACTAATTCACATATTAAAGTTGAGCTAAGTTTCTCTACACAACTTAGAATGTTAATTAACGTTAAGTTAATTGAATAGAGAGCCGTATTGCACATCGAATTTGATGAAATATAATTCTTTCTCGTCTGCTTCTTTTTCTTAACTTAGATTAATTATTTGCTTATTTTTTTTATTATAAATATGCATTTTATTATGTATTTTTGTTTTGTACAACTTCGATGCATAATAAGTTTGTTTATGTTCTACATAGCTCCGTGCCTGTCTTTGTGTAAATATATTGTGAAAGAATTTAAATCTTTCGGAAAGAAAAGAATATAGGCTATGTCATTTGGTAATTAAGGTGCTTGGCTTACTGAAATAGAATGGAAAGAACAGTTGCTAACGTAAACAAATGTCACGTCTCAGCAGCCAATAAGGATCAAGATACCCACACTACGTCATTATGCTATTTTTTTGAGCTGCGGAATTACGCGTCACTTTTACTTTTTTTTTTTGCATTTTTCAGCGTTACAGCTAGTAAGCGAAATCATTACCAGCTGTCTGTGATATCCATGTTTTTCCTTCTTGATGTTTGCAATTGCAAAATGTTTTACAACTGCTGTCTTGCAATCATGTGTTGACATTTCAAGGAGGACGGGGACTTATCTCAAGATTGTCAGACTCAATTAAATACAGTATTTAAATTTTCGCAATAAAACTTAGTAGAATTTTCTCAAGAAAAGTTCTTATTACTAATTATAAATAACGGTAGCGCAGCAATGCGCATTCTGGTATCGTTTTAATCATTTGCTCTCATGAATTTAAAAAAACAAAAACAAAACTGTCATACGTTTGCATGATGTGAATGAATACATGCTAGAATACTACCCCTATGAGAAAAAAATTCCCGGCATAAAAAAATTATACCGGCTTATGAAACACCAGTTCCGGTATGATTCCGAACCCAATATCATACAGGAACCGGTGTTTCATTATTCGGTATCAAATTGAATATAGTATGATACCGGACCCAGTATCATACCCGAACCGGTGTTTCATAAGCCGGCATCAAATTGATTTCGGTATGATACCGGACCCAGTATCATACAGGAACCGTTGTTTCATAAGCCGATATCAAATTGAATCCAGTATGATACCGGACCCAGTACCATACAGGAACCGTTGTTTCATTAGCCGATATCGAACTGATTTCAGTATGATACCGGACCCAGTATCTTACCGGAACCGTTGTTTCATAAGCCGATATCAAATTGAATCCAGTATGATACCGGACCCAGTATCTCACCGGAACCGGTGTTATATAAGCCGGCATCAAATTGATTCCGGTATGATACCGGACCCAGTACCATACAGGAACCGTTGTTTCATTAGCCGATATTAAACTGATTTCAGTATGATACCGGACCCAGTATCTTACCAGAACCGTTGTTTCATTAGCCGGTATCAAACTGATTTCAGTATGATACCAGACCCAGTACCATACCGGTGTTTCATCAGCCGATATCATATTGGCTCTGGTATGATACAAAATCAGATGTCATACCGGAACTGGTACTTCATAAGCTAGCAGGATACTGGCTCCGGTATGAAACCTAAACTGTTATTGCATTAGCTGGTATCATACTAGAGCCAGCATAATCTGGTGCTAGTGTACCGCGCTCAGTATACTGGGATGGTGTTTTGAAAGCCGGTTTATTTTTCACACAAGTATAGTGTGGTACTACAGTTTAATACAGGAACGTCGCTATTTAATGGTGTGCTTTCTATAAAATACTCAAGGAATTGAAAATATAAGCACCAAACTCATTTTGTAGATAAAATATATTTTTATATAAATAAAATTTAGGTAAAATGTCATTACTATCCTATGTACTCAATACACATTTCTGAGTTTACTATATTAATTATTTTCATTTACTATTTAATGAAATTACTATATAGTGAAAGTGTTACAGAGACAAATACATACATATTCTGATGTAGTATAACTGTTGTGATGCCACAATTGGCATTACATATTTATTTTCTATCCTTTTAAAATATCTTTCATTACTTAAGCTTTTTTTTAATAATAGAATTATATTTAAAATAAATCAAAGATTTAATCTTTTAAACGAACAGAAAATATTTATTCTTCTCTTACAGATCAATGTAACGGATACTTTTTATTTCATTACTAATGCAGACTTATTAATTCACTGTCGCCTCTAATCGAAAACAAGAATCTGTTTATAACTTTTCATTCTAAATTTTCAACTGCTAAATGTTTCAGTTGCATGGTTGTAATAATTCTCATAAATTTGTTGGCGACTCGTGATCGCCAAGGTGTTCTTTTAAACGCAATATTGATATGCTGGTTGGCTTTGTTTCGGCTATGCTATATTTTGATAAATCGCCTATTTTGGATCTCCTACCCATACTTTCTATGTCCGTTGGGAATAATTATATTCACTTTTAATTTCAAATTTGTGGAGACTGGGAGTGCCCTTATGGGCCTCCCCAGTCACAATTTCTAACCGTCAGAAATGATATTCTGGCTGTATGATCTCTCAATAGGAGGGTATTCGGATTTCATCCCTTTAAGGGATTTCTATTTTGGATGAAGAAATGGCCATTCTCTATCACCAATTATGCTTAATAAAATCTAAATTTCACTGAACAATTTGTATATTCTTTCCTGGAGACTGTATAAAGTTATTTTCCACTATACGAATATTGGCGGC